AGACGGGAAGTATTAGGATCCATTTGTCTCTCCCTGGAGATAGGGCCGAGCAGGTTTAAGGTGGATTTCCAACTCATGACATAAACAAGTTACACAATGCTGCTAGAAAGCCAGAGGATTCATTCTGCTAGGGCTGTTCCTTCTACCTTACATCAAAAGGTTAAGTTCATCAGTGATGGGAGAATTATAGCAGTTAAAGGAGAGGAGGAAATCATGGTGAGCAAACCAAGCTCACTCCCTTATATTGAGGCTGCAGAGAAAGATTATGGAGTTTCCTTTCAAAGCCTAGAGGTCGAGGGTATTTGCGGTAGTACTCACAACATCAATTCCGTCGTGGCTAAAATCATGGCGAAGAGTGGGTTTATGCCAGGGAAAGGTTTAGGCTCTCATTTACAAGGAATTACGTGTCCAATTAAGGTTTTGGATAATTGTAATCGCCAAGGGTTAGGGTATGAGCCTACCCTGGAAGACCAGATGAAAGACAAAGCAAGTTTGGCAAATGGCAAAAAGGCCAGTAAATTGGAGATTCCACACATTAAAGAATCCTTCCCAGGCCCGTCCGAGGTGATATATAAACCAGCTATCTCAGTGATCTCTTTTAATGAAGATGTACCATGCAGAACAAGTGCCTCAATTGCAGTCGATGATTCCAACAAAGTTCTGGCGAATTGGGAGTTTGAAGAGGCCAATGATGTCATTAGCTTAGAGTAATTGTTTCAATTATGTTGTTCCTATTTTATCCACTTTTGAGCCCAGGTTTAGGTAATAGATCTTGGGTATTCACTAATGCAAACTTTTGATATACATAATTCATGAAAATGAATTTCAATTGCATTCATGTCTATTTCTTTATTCCACCCTATCTACTTCAATACATCTTTCTTTCTCCGTTTCATTCCTGTTCCTTATTTCATCTCGTTCCATATTCATTATCCAGGGATTTTGTTTCTTCTGATTCCATCTCCCACCCAGAGATTAATAAACCCTGTGAAGATGATTCATTCGTTGCCACTGATATGCATGATTGTGAGTCTGATGATGAAGACATAATCCAAACTTTTTCAAAGATGCTTGAATTGAGTGATAAGGGAATATGCCCACATGAAGAAGTGATTGAGATGGTTAATATGGGAACCGAGGAGGATCAAAGAATGCTCAAAATAGTAGATAATCCTGAAAGGGAACAAATGATTGAGTTGTTCAAAGAATACATAGATGTGTTTGCATGGTCATATAAAGACATGCCTGGGCTAGACCCAAGCATTGCTTCTCATAAAATACCATTACTTCCCAAGGTCGAGCCTAAGAAACAAAAGTTAAGGAGAATGAACACGGGGGTGTCCTTGCAGATAAAAGAAGAAGTAATAAAGCAGTTAGAAGCAGGATTTTTGGAGGTAGTAACTTACCCACAATGGGTGGCAAATATTGTTCCTGTTCCTAAAAAAGATGGTCGGATTCGAATGTGTGTTGATTATCGTAATTTAAATAATGCGAGTCCGAAAGATGACTTTCCATTACCCCACATTGATGTATTGGTCGATAATACTGCTCGAAGCTATCGCTATTCCTTTATGGATGGTTATTCAGGGTACAATCAAATCCCTATGCATGAAAAGGATAAAGAGAAAACAACCTTTACAACCCAATGGGGAACTTATTGTTATCGGGTAATGCCTTTTGGTTTGAAAAATGCTGGGGCAACTTATCAACGAGCTATGGTAGCACTATTCCATGACATGATGCATAAAGAAATTGAAGTATATGTAGATGATATGGTAGCTAAATCAGCGGAGAATAAGAGTCATGTTGGAGTCCTTAGAAAGCTATTTGGGAGATTACGCGAATATCGGCTAAGATTGAATCCTAACAAATGCATTTTTGGAGCTCTTTCTGGGAAGTTATTGGGATTCATTGTGAGTCGTAAAGGGATAGAAGTAGATCCAGATAAAGTGAGAGCAATTCGAGAAATGCCATCTCCCCAAACAGAGAAAGAAGTTAGAAGTTTCTTGGGACGATTGAATTACATTGCTAGATTCATTGCCAATCTAACAGCCACTTGCGAACCAATGTTTAAACTGTTAAAGAAAAATTGCAAGGGGACATGGGATGATGATTGTCAAAAGGCCTTTGATAAAATTAAAGATTATTTGTTAAATCCCCCGATTTTGGTACCTCCATCACCAGATCGTCCACTAATCCTTTACCTAACAACTTTACCTCGCTCAATGGGAGCAATGCTAGGTCAACTTGATGATTCTGGAAAGAAGGAAAGAGCGATTTATTTCTTGAGCAAGAAGTTTAATGAGTGTGAAGCTCGTTATCCGGTGATTGAGCGAACTTGTTGTGGACTAGTATGGGCAACTAGAAGGCTAAGGCAATACATGCTTTACTACACTACCTGGCTAATCTCACGAGTGGACCCACTTAAATACATCTTTGAGAGCCCGCACATTACTGGTAGAGTACTAAAATGGCAAGTTGTACTATCAGAATATGATATAAAGCATGTGATGCAAAAGTCAGTCAAAGGTAGTGCAATAGCAGATCACTTGGCCGATAATCCTTTAGGGGATGACCAACCATTAGATTTTCAATTTCCTGATGAAGTCATATGCACTACAGAAGAAGGTTGTGGTGAAGGAAACAATGAAGAGCGAGAATGGGAAATGTATTTTGATGGAGCCGCCAACATGCATGGAAATGGGGTAGGAGCGGTGATCGTTTCACCCGAAGGAAAACAATTTCCAGTGGCCATCAAATTAGAATTTGATTGTACTAACAACATAGCAGAATATGAAGCTTGTGTTAATGGTCTTCGAGCAGCTATTACCCTTGGTATACGGTGTTTGAAGGTATTTGGTGATTCAGCTCTCATTATTCATCAAGTAACAGGAGAATGGAGAACAAAGGATGTAAAATTGATTCCCTATCAAGAACTCCTAACAGATTTGATTAAGCAATTTAAGGTTGCTAGCTTTCATCACTTGACTAGAGATAAAAACCGCTTCGCTGATGCTTTAGCCACTTTAGCAGCAATGATCCAACTTGATTGTGGAGTCCATATCCAACCCATCCAAGTGGAAGCTAGAAGCTTTCCAGCGTACTGTCTGAATGTTGAAGAAGATCGAGAAGAATATCCTTGGTTCCAGGATATTAAGGATTATATCACTAAGAGATCATACCCAGCTGGAATGACTGAGAATGAAAAGAAAACCCTTCGTCGTTTGGCTATGACATTCTTTATCAGTCAAGATGTTCTATACAAGAGGGGTTATGATGGTACTTTACTTCGCTGTGTGAGTTCAGAAGAAGCAAAGAAAATCATGGTTGAGGTACATGAGGGCATATGTGGCACGCATGCGAATGGTCACACTATGGCCAAACAGATTCAAAGGTATGGCTACTTCTGGCTAACAATAGAGAAAGATTGCTTTGAGCATGTCAAGAAATGCCATAAATGTCAGATCTATGCTAATAGGATAAATGCTCCTCCAATCCCATTATATAATTTGGTATCACCCTGGCCATTCTCAATGTGGGGCATTGACATTATTGGCCCAATTAACCCAAAAGCTTCGAATGGACATCGCTTCATCCTTGTCGCGATTGACTATTTCACAAAATGGGTAGAAGCAAATTCATTTGCTAGCATCACGCAAAAGACGTTCCTTAAATTCATGAAGACAAATATTTTATGCCGATATGGGATTCCTGAAAGGATCATTACTGATAATGGTCCCAATCTCAATGGAACGGAAGTCAGGAACTTTTGCGAGAAGTTCCAAATCAAGCATCATAATTCAGCCCCGTATAGACCTCAAATGAATGGAGCAGTTGAAGCAGCCAATAAAAATATTAAGAAGATCATTGGAAAAATGACAGTAACTTATAAGGATTGGCATGAGATGCTTCCCTATGCTTTACATGGTTATCGTACTACTGCACGCACATCCATAGGGGTGACCCCATACTCCCTTGTTTATGGAATGGAAGCTGTTACACACCCATTGAGATAGAAATACCATCTTTAAGAGTATTGGCAGAGGTAGATTTAGAAGAAAATGAATGGATACGAACCCGATTTGAGCAACTTAACATGATTGAAGAGAAAAGGCTCATTGCAATGTGTCATGGACAATTGTACCAAAGAGAATGGCAAGAGCTTTTGATAAAAAACTTCGCCCACGGAATTCAGTGCTGGGGATCTTGTACTCAAGAAAATATTGCCTAACCAAGAAGATAATAGAGGCAAATGGGCTCCGACCTATGAGGGACCTTATGTTGTCAAACATGCTTTTTCTGGAGGAGCACTGATCCTAGCTGACATGGACGGTCAAGAGTTAGCAAAGCCCATTAATGCAGATGCTGTCAAGCGTTACTTTGCTTAAACAGAAAATGAAAAAGAATGAAGCGCTCGTTAGGTTGAAAACCTGTAAAGGCAACCTAGGCAAAAGTTAGAGCTAATAGAAAATGAAAAGGAAAGAATAGCTCGTTAGGTTAAAAAACCTGTAAAGGTAATCTAAGCAAAAGTTAGAGCTAAAAAAAAAGGGGGGGGCAAAGTCATGATAAGAAGAAGAAGAGTTCGCCAAGACAAAAGGATGTCTTAGGAGAAGAAAAGGAAGGCATCAAAAGTTAATTATGTTTGGGAAAGTTATCTCCATCGTCTCTCATATTATGCATATCAATAGCAGCTCAGTGAAACACCTGTTGGGGTTTTGAAAAGCTAAAGGAAGAGATGTGATAAAGTAAATCCATATATCCCATTCGCGCTTTGGCCATTTGTACTCATAAACCAAGATATTCCCATTTCTCTATGAACTTTAGCCTCAGTGAATGAATTTTTTCCGCCCTTGCTCCTTTGAGACCATCTTTCTTCTCGTTTCGTGTTATCATATTTGGATACAAATCTCATATATTACAGCAGGTTCGCATTCAAGGAACAATATTCATTGACGCATTTACTTGACGTAGAATGCTGGTATCTTTATTCTCGCCTTTCGCCCTTGAGGTATCAAGATCATTACGTAGGTGTAAAATGATAATGAGAGCATGTCTACTATTAGTGTTTGGTTATAATAGTTAATCTCATCAATTTGAAGACAAGATCAAGTGACAAGAATTTGGTCATTGGAATTTTCTAAAGAGGGGCAACGGCATACTGTGATACTACACCTATTAATGAATAAAGGTTAAATAACAGACTTGGAGGTATTACCTTATGTTCGAAATGATTTATTCAATGTGCACAAAATTTTCAAAAAAAAGGGGGATAAATACTAAGATAGTTTTCAACATTAAGCTTTCCAATAAAATTTTTGCAATACATTTGCATTATTCATACATTTGCATTGGGGCAAATAAGCACGTCTTACCCTTTACATTGCAAATCATCCATCCAATGTATATTTAGCGCCTATAAACATCATACATGGCACATTACCACATTGCATGCCTTGTCGTAGAAACACGCCACACTTAGATTGGGGCAAATAAAAAATCATGCATTGCATATCATCCCATTGCATGCATTGCTACAGAGAGTATGCCCTATTTAGATTAGGGCAAACTAAAAACTTGCAAAACCTAAGGAAGTAAGCGAAGAATTAACAAAACTCACCTTTGAGTTTCTCATATTTTCCCCGTGAGATGAAACCTATTCTCACACTCAAAGCCCAGTACCGGCTGGCACGATTCCTTAAAGCCCTGTAACGGCAGGCCCCCAAAGCCCTGTAACGGCAGGCACCCCAAAGCCCTGTTACGGCAGGCACCCCAAAGCCCCGTACCGGCTGGCATGATTCTTTAAAGCCCTGTAACGGCAGGCACCCCAAAGCCCTGTTACGGCAGGCACCCCAAAGCCCAGTACCGGCTGGCATGATTCTTTAAAGCCCTGTAACGGCAGGCACCCCAAAGCCCTGTTACGGCAGGCACCCTAAAGCCCAGTCTCGGCTGGCACGATTCTTTAAAGCCCTGTAACGGCAGGCACCCCTAAAGCCCTGTTACGGCAGGCCCTCAAAGCCCAGTATCGGCTGGCACGATTCCTTAAAGCCCTGTAACGGCAGGCACCCCAAAGCCCTGTTACGGCAGGCACTCAAAGCCCAGTACCGGCTGGCACGATTCCTTAAAGCCCTGTAACGGTAGGCACCCTAAAGCCCAGTCCCGGCAGGCACCCTAAAGCCCAGTCCCGGCTGGCACGATTCCTTAAAGCCCTGTAACGGCAGGCCCCTAAAGCCTTGTTACGGCAGGCACTCAAAGCCCAGTACCGGCTGGCACGATTCCTTAAAGCCCTGTAACGGCAGGCCCCCAAAGCCCTGTCACGGCAGGCACCACAAAGCCCAGTATCGGCTGGCACAATTCTTTAAAAGCCCTGTCACGGCAGGCACCACAAAGCCCAGTATCGGCTGGCACAATTCTTTAAAGCCCTGTCACGGCAGGCATCCTCCGAGCCTTGTAAAAGCAGGCATCCACCTGGTCCTTTGGAACATAGGCAATTCATCTCCATTGAGGTTTTGTTTTGTTTAGTTCGTAAATCACATTTCATTTTAAACCCTTTCTTTTATTTTGTTTTGTTTTTTTTGGTTGTAGATACCTAAGAGTCTTGCCCCTCCTCACAAAATACATGTTTCTCTCTTCATTCATTTCTAAGATAAGAATATCATCTCATGAAATTCTCACTTAGAAATCAAATGAAGAGGGGGCATCTAGTCAACATATATTTTGTTTGGATCGTTGTCATTTGATTATTTTCATTCACATCACATTGCTAAAAATCAAAAATCATGTCACTGTGTTTGTTATGCAATAGTCTCGCATTTAATCATATCTTGTCGTGTCAGGGGCAATTAGGTCTTTTCATAGGTATTGCATGGCCGACCAAAATACATGTTCTATCTTTACTTGTCACTTATGTAAGAATTCAAAAACACACTTTTTCATATACTTACATAAGAAACAAGTAAAGAGGGGCAACTGTGAACACCGTATTTTGTCCGGGCATTTTTTTTAAAAATAATAATAAATAACCAAAAATATATATAAATACAAAAAATTTTAATCCTTTTTAGGATTATATTTTCAAGAAAATAATAATAATAATAATCATCATCATCATCTAACAAAAAAATCCTCTCTCCTTTTACCTTAGATAACCCTTCTCTTAAAAGAAAATTAATTAAAAAAAATATACTATGAAATTGAATAATTAAATAAAATAAAATAAAGAGGTAGTATCACGTGCATGCCAATTTGAACTGCCCAGCTTCAGCAACAAAAACACAGCAGACATGAAACAGACAAAAAGAAGGAAAACGAGAGAGAGAACAGTCAGCCACGCATGCACGAAGAGAACGCCGGAAAAACGCACGAGCAGACGCAGAAAAAAGGAACTTTCAGCCATGCAGAGAAACCAGAACACGTCAACGCACAGCCACAGCTACACAGAGAACACACACAGAAAAAACAAGCAGAGACGCACAATGAAAGGAAATAGAAACATGCACGTACACGAGAAAGCAAAAAGAAAAACACAGCACCAACACATACGAAACACACACAGAAAAAGTAGAGGCATGGACACGACAGAAGAAAAAGGGAAGCAGAAAGGCAGCACCCACACGCAAAGAAAAAGAAGAGCCATGCAGAAATGAAAACAGAGCAGAGAGCTTTCGGCGCACGCAGAAAATGCAGCGGAAGAGAAGGGAAAAGGAAGAAGCAGAGAAAGGGAGTAATCATTCAGCTCTTCCATCCTCTATATAAGGAGTGACAGGGCTGGGAGAAAAGAGGAGGAGACGGAGGAGGTGAAACAGAAAAAGAAAGACCGAGAGGACTGAAAACAGAAAACAGAGACAGAGGAGAGAGTCCGGGAGAGGAAGAGAAGAGAGAAAGAAAATAGAGCAGAGAAGAAGCAGCAGAAAAGGAGAGGAAAAATGGAGAAACGAGGCGAGAAAAACTGGAAGAAGGAGATCAGAAGTAAAAACAGAGCATAGGAGAACTGAGAGAGAGCACGAGGACGAGCGAAGACTGGAGACGAAAAGAATAACAGAGCAACTGGAGAGAGAGAGAAAGTGTGGAAGTTTGCAGGGGCTACTGCCATCACTGATGGTGCACTTCGTCCTCCTCTGTGTCTTCATCTCCTCTTCCTTTCTCAGTTACGGGCATCGCGGGAGCGTGTAAGTTTGCAGGGGCTACTGCCATCACAGACGGTGCACTTCGTCCTCCTCTGTGTCTTCATCTCCTTTTCCTTTCTCAGTTACGGGCATTGCGGGAGCGTGTGTAAGGTTAGTTCACACCTTATTAATTGCTTCTATGAATTTTATATCCAGGTGAATAAGTCTCGAATATACGTATTTATTTTTATGCTCATATGCTAAGCACATATATATATTTTTTTTTTAACTTAAAACAGGAGATTTTGAGAATTTTTACAGGAATTTAAAATGATCTCATACCATAAAGATCAATAAGATTTTACAAGTATGGGGATCAATTTTGCAGATACTTATACGGGTTCTAAAGGCCCATTATTAAAATTAACTCTTTCTTTATACTAAATATTTAAGTTCCATGTGAGATTTTAAGAATCTTCGTAGGAACTTAAATTAGTCACATTATTATGTGGGACAGTAAGTCCTCGTAGATATAGTGATTTTCAATTTTTGTAATAAATAAGTAATTTTTGCAAATAATCATATAATATACAATTTAAGAAACTTAATTAACCAAATTAAATGTATTTAAATTGTAACCATATTTACCAATTATATCTTTTAGCCACGTGAAATTTTTGAATCTCCGTAGGCTTCTAAGATCATTGTATTATCGTGTGAGTCAATAAGACTCTGCGGATATAACGATTTAGTTTTTAAAATATATATACATATATATTATATAATTAATTAAATCAATTAATTAAATTTAATTCCTGTCTCGTGTGAGATTTTAGAATCTCCGTAGATATTTAGGATAATCATATTACCGTATAAGTCAATAAGGCTTTGCAGGTATGATGATTAAAATTCTTCAAAACATGTATATACATACTTAAAATATATTTTTGATACTTAAAATGTACATAAGAATATAAATAAATAAATTGAATTGCCAAACTCTTCTATCATGTGAGATTTCAGAATCTTCGCAAATACTTAGAGCAATTGCATTACCGTATGAATCAATAAGGTTCTACAGGTACTGCAATTAAATTTCTAATCATAAAATATAAAGAAAGATAATTTTAAACCCTTTCATTTCTTTATTCAAAATTCAAAAATTGAGAAAATAATTAAAATTAAATTACCTTTTGCAATTTAAAACACACATATCACAATTTCAGAAATTGTTTTATTTGCAAAATGGTGAGTTATTTCTAATTAATTTCTCTTCAAAAAATATTTTTACCGACAAACTTTTAAGCCCGAATTACGTGGACTTTGATCCCCATCACAGGGTACGTAGGCCTCAGAGTCAGATTCTGAGTCAAGTCCGTCCTCTCTCGTAAATAAATAAACATTTCTCACTCAATTATCATTATTTTTATATCAAACACATGAATATAAAAGGGATAATTAAAATAATTTTAAAACCATATTAATAGAGCACAACAAACTTCAGGTAACTGTTCTCACGAACGGGTGTTGTGGGGTGCCTAACACCTTCCCCACACTCAACCGACTCCCGAACCCGTTCTCTGATTTCGCAGACCACCCTTATCTTCCATTAATCGGTTTCCCGAGATTTACCTCAAAATCTTGGTGGCGACTCCTCGTTCGATCCAGTTCCCGCCGCGAAGGCCGGGACCTCCGCTCGCGCGCCGTTCGCGTCGCATTTTTCCGGGTGCGACAGTGGTAGTAATTTTTATATTTTTTAATAATAATAATAATAAAAACATCATCTCTCTATCCTCTCTCTCCCCCCTTCTCCCTCCCTTTCTCTCCTCCTCGTACTTCACTCCTAGGGCACAAGTCGTAGCCCTTGTGCTTGTTGTTTGAAGGATTAGCACGAGGCGTATAGCTTTCATCCACAACAAGAAACACATCTATGGAACCCATCGTCATCGACTTTAGCCTTGATAGCTAAAGGGTAACCTACTAGTGTTTGCTGACAACACCTCCATCCCCTCCCGTTGACTCTACTGCACCTTGATCCCTCCATCACCACACTTGCCTTCCTCTCTTCTCACTCGTATTTGCATCCACAGTCACTTCCTCTTCTTTTCTCTCTTCCTCCTCCTCCCTATGCCTTTCATCATCATTTTTCATACATTTTTTGTTCATCTTGGTCTTAATTCTAGTTTTCTTCTCCTTGTTGTTATTGTTGTTGCACTCCCTCGTGTTCATGTAGTCACATCCTCTCCCTCTCCATTTCTTAGGCGTAATTACTTTCTCTCCGTTGCAGCATTTCCCATCTGCATGCCGTACTCAAGGGACGTAAGTGCAGCCCTGCTCTATTTCTTTCTACAAAAACAGAGCAACTTTCTAGTTAGCACAAAAGAAGGACATTACTTGGTTAGAAATACCACAATCAGAACGTGGTATACAGAGACACTTGTCAACTGGAGAAGGGATAGATCATAGGACAAAAGTTACGAGGCTTGCACGAGAGGAAGCAACTACTCACAAATAATATTTGCTGAGGCAGGCTACTTTGTTTCTTAGTGTTTTGGTTTATATGAGGATGATGATTTAAACGAGATCGCAACTGCTAGCCTTATTCCTGTAATCATTTTCCTTTTATTTCAGAAGGGGGGGGGGGGAGAGAGAGAAGATGCCATTAACTTGTGAGAGGAGATCAGAAAAGAGGAGAGGAGGAAGTGGAGACGAAAAATGTTAAAAAATAACATGAGATTCACAAAAAATATTTTATAATGAAAAATATTTAAAAGAATTCAAAATTAGGTCCCACTAATGAAAACATTGACAGGAGAAACGGCAAGGTGATTGAAAAAAAACTTTAACATTAAGGGATATAAATAATTTATAATTAAATTTAAATTATTTGTAACTCTGAAATTAATCTTTAATTTTTTTTTATATAGGAAATTGAGAAGGAATCTCTAGAAGCCAGTGGCAGGGGCCTTGCGTTATTTACGTCTCCTCCGTCCAGTATCTGTGGCGTCATGTTGGCAGATGCTGAGCCTATTACCGACTAGCGACTAGTTATGATTCTGATGATACAGTTGATTTTCTCCCTCGGGCCACTGAAGATATGGTTGTTTAAAACACCTATCAATCAATCTATTATCCTGATCACTGTCTCCACCAACCTGAGTAAGAAATGCAGTAACTCAAGAAACATGAATATTTTGTACCATTGTCTCTGCAAATTACACTGAAAAAGCATGGCTCGTGTAGGGAAGTATTGCCATTTTTGCATCACGCTGACAGAATTCTCTGTACTGGGTAATCAATCCTATGAGGACTAATCATACTTCTCTCTCCATGAATACACAAGAAAGAACACCCAAGAAACTGCCAATGCCAGGTCTCCAATAGCCTGCCTGGGCCATTCATGTGCCAGATCTTCAACCTTCCTCAAGAATCCAAACCTCCACACTGCCATGGAAACGTGAACGGCAACGCATCCTTTTGCGAAGAAGCTCTGAAACTCCCTGTCCTTTGCAAAAGCCACCATGAACAACATGAATCCGATCGTGAACAAGAGCAATCCCGAGAACGAATCTGAAGTTCGAACCAGCAATTGATCGTGAGGCGTTGATCCTTGAAGCTTCCTAGCTGTCTCCGACCCGTGGCTGAACTCGGAGATCTCCGCCGAGAAGAAAACCATGAGTGATCCACAGGTTAGGGCTATCGCGGAGTGCAGTAGACAGATCAGAAAAAATCCGGAAGAAGCCATCGATCAGCAAAAACAATCTCCAGTAAGATTTGGATACTTCAAATTAACCTCGATCAAAATGCTTGAAGCATCAATTACATAGTCATGTCGTGTTTGATTCAACAAACATAGCTAAAATTTACTGATAGATCTCTTGAACAAATTGACACAGTCCATTCTTCCAATAGGGCTGGAACAAGAAAACTCAGAATACATTGCCCTGTCTGTATCGTATGGTATAATACTATAGCATTTGAAATTCGAAGCAGTAGATAATCTAGATATTCCCCTTGACCAAAACAAACAAACAATGAACAGAACGCTTTTCTCAGCAATATGAACAAGAAAGCTAAGAAATGCTATAGATGAAGATGGTGAAGAAGAGATATGATACAGATCTGGAACGGCAGGTATATATAGCACTTACTACTAATAGAAAAAGAATAAATTATGAGATTTGGATCTGCATAGGAAGTAACGAAGACGAATTGGGTGATATGTTGTCAATTGCATACATAGAGATTGCTTTCATGATCATGAAACCACCAATCCCCATATGTAGAAAATGCCGTGCTTGTGTTATTCTGCTTCCTTCCTTTGCCTGCTACAATGACCAATGCTGGTGTGGGTCAAGGAAATGGGTCTGCATAACTGTTTGCTTTAAAAGATTATTTTCGAATCATTGCGTTGAAATGAAATACTTTGGCTTTCCTGGTAGGGCCCTGGGTTTTCATTATTCAGTTGCCCTTCTTAGACTGCATTATTTTTAAACTTTGTGATTTCACGTCTTAATCTTGAAGGTGATGACATGATTTGGTGTTTGGATAAGTATAGCAGAAAAAATTTACACCTATCGTCACAAAGTTTCAGTAGTTTCTATTCAGCTTAATCCTAAAGGCAATGACTTGATTTGCTTTTTGGATAAGAATAGCGGAAAAATTTTCCACTCGTCATCATCCCAAATTTTTAATATTTTCTGTTCAACGTAATTGCGCGCGCGCGAGGATAGCAGGCTGACAGTGATGGTGAGATTTCCTCTTCCGCTTGTTCATATTAATTTAACCATTTAAATTTTGAGTTAGATCGAAGTCTCACTGTATGAGTGTATCCCACCATTTGAGGGAAAAATATATTCCTGATCTCACATGGGACAATTTTCACTAGAAAACTGACATCTATCTAATATTTATAGTAGAGACTAAATGACCAAAAGTCCAAAAGGGAAAGAGAAGCAAGGCGAAAGTGTAATATAAAGAAGATTCAAAGGAGAAAAAGCCAGAAAGCATGCCAACTATTTCGAATCTCCAGGTCAGGTTTGTGGTCTTCTGTGAGGAAGGTTGCTTTTGATCTGAAGAATATTGAAGATCTTTTGAAGTTCTGAACACCTACCTAATGACAGACAATCTTATCATATCACGAAAATTTTGAAATTTGAAATTCTATAAATAAAGAGAAAAGTCATCATGACGTTTTAGTGATTTGCCCATCACAGCTAATAGGAGTGGAAAAATAGACTCTTGCTTTTGAAAACAAAGTAGCGGCTAAAAAGATTTATCTTATAGCTATCAGTCAAACTAATGGTGATTGGTGTTCTTGAATTATGTATTGTTCTTCCCCTCTAGACATGGATTCTAATAGCCATATCATATTATCATGTTGCTGCTGGTGGCCTGTTCTGTTTTCTAAATTGGATCATCCATCATTATGCATTATGTTATATAGTTAACAGAGGACATAAAAATTGATTAAATTATAACATGAAATCATGAATATTCTATTTTTTTTAACACATGTAGTAGTAGTTTTGTTTTTTCTATTTTATGTCGACTGCTATATATGAAATCAATTTACTCCATGGGGTCTGCAGTCTGCTACTTTCCCCTGCTGACACGGTTGCTTTCTTATTTCTTAGGGCCAGCACATGAGGTTGCCAACCAATCACGTTCTGCAATTAGTAATATTGTAGAAAAATGGCTGTGTAAATTACATGTCACGATACATTTTTGGTATGCATAAGCGGAGCCCTCGTATTAAATTATTTTTAAGTGTTCTGACATTATAAAAAAGTGGTATTATTCATAATTTAGAAACAATATGAATGTATGATTGATCTCAAACTTTGTATAATGTTTGTAATATTGACTTAAAAAAATATCTACTTGGCATATTTTTATTGAGAAATCATAAATAGATATAAGAATTTAGATTTAATATTTTTCGTGACAAATTGGCAGATAGATGAAAGCGATGAGCCTCAAGATTGTTCTGTGGCTGTTGTATTTCAAAGACTTCTCGAGATGTAGATGTTTCGATGGTTTATGCTCTTTTGTCCAACTATCATGTGATATTCCAGCCCGTAAATGTTTCCTTCAATTTTAAGAAATTATTTAATAATTATGAGTTTATTGCCGACGAGGATTATGCCCAAAATCACAAATCTGGATCTATGAATTCATGGAAGAGAATAATTTTCGGCGTATTGTCTATAACTGAATGGATCAGACAGTTGGCCCAAAGAGCGGGTCTTAAATAAAGCCCATAAAACAATTAGGGATAAAAAGAAACAAAATCAGTCGACCGAATGTTGACACCAAACTGTCTCTGTAAGTCACTGGCCATTCTGCTCCCCTGAACCTCACTGCCACAGTTTTGCATTTTTACTTCATCAAGAGATACAAATATCACACAGTGCACTGGCCACCTAGCATTGAATTGTAGATTAAGGTGAAAAGGTGTGGCGTATATAATTTGAAATCTTAACTTATATTAAGACAACATCAAACTATTATCTTTTCTAGAAAGTGATCACTCCCGGAAGTAGATGGGATCGGTGCAATAATAAATTTGAAACATTTTGGACCAAAACCAGATAAAGATGGCGATTTGTGTTATTTATACAAATAAATAAGAGTTTGAAAAGGGTTTAATAACTAATTAAATGATGCAGTTAAATAAGAAAAACAATAAACCAACTAATCATAAAAATGCTGGTGGTCAATATTCGCATATTAGGATAAATTACTCTAATTCAATTAATTATCTTTCTTTCTTTATTTATAGTGACAATTATTTTTAAAGTATTTTAATTATTTTCTAGTATGTTATGCTATATTTAATTAGAGTTAACTTGATATGATACTAAATTATACTCTCTAACTAAATCATGAAATTATGATCTAAGTCACCACCAATTCCTAAATTATTTCTAATTTAATTATTGATATCTATCTCTCTATGTTTAAGCAAGTCTTTCACCTTCTAGTTCATCAAACCAAAACACAAATAATTTATATAGCGACTATCTATATAAAAAGATTATTAAAACAAGAGAGATAAATATAAATAAAATAAAAATTCTCATAAAAAATTAATATTCAGAAAATAAATGAAATTAAATAACGAATAAAATTCATCTCAATCAAGCTATTCCCTATCCCAACTGAGAGTTTAGCAAAAACTCAGAGTTAAAACTACAATTCTAAATAAAATATATAAAAAAATTTAAAAAAGATGATAAGAGAAAAAGCTCCTAACTTAAAAAAAAAAAAATCTTTTAAACTTTGTAACATGTCTTCTAATTTTTGGATATGATATTGAATGACTTTGAGAAACTTTTAGGAGATTTATTTGTAATAAAGTTGTCCTCCTTGAACTTAGAATATGTCCGAATCACTTTTTATTTTATTTGTCATGCTGATATCTAATTTAAAATATATTAAAATAATTAATTTCTACTTCTAGCATCTACGTCCGGGTGCGGTTGAAACAAGTATGACAATGTTCGTGAGGGCCAAACAATGCTTCTTTTTTTGCCCTTCACTTCATCAAGAGCGGCCGTGGCTTCACGAAGCTCATTTGAGCAGATCACCCTATTTCATTCGCAACCGATAATTTTCCTTCATATTTCACTTGCAACCGACTGTATTTGAGGTGAGAACCAATTCTAAAACTTCGTTCATCTTTGACCGACGGTGGCTTTTAGAGTTTTATAGGTGAGCAGATTAGTGTTCCTGGGCCCCATCTTGGGCTTTGATTTGTAACTCCATATTTCTGGCCTTTCATATGTTGTTTTCAATCCCTTTTCTTGAAAATGCCCCAAAATTTCCAAATGAGGTGTTTTGTCTAATTTTATCTTTAATTCACACAGTAATCAGTTAAGATAGTCAAGATAGGAGCATAAATTATATACAAATCTATGTAACATGCCTACTTATTAGAAAGTTAGCTGTTTATACAATCACCACATGCATGGTAGTTTTTGTTAAGTTTATGACTTAAATTTCTATAATTTAATCATTTTATTTATTATACCTCTATTATTTACCGGTCATGTTAATATTCTTAACTTTTTAAAAGCTCTGTGTAAGTATCTCTCTATTGACGAGACAATCATTGTGAACCCTCTTCTTCATCATGGAGTATTTTTTGCTTGTTACTCACAAGATTTTTTGTCTCTCAATCATGCTAGGATTTTCTCACATTAAATGTTTTGCTTCTGCATATTTTGAGGGGGTTGAGTTGAACAGCAAGATACCCAAGAAGCTCCGATGCACTAGATCTGAACAATTTGCATGTCTCTCAATCTCGCATGTGACGTACGAATGTATCGAGTGTTTTGGGCTCACAGTTCTACTTTGACTTTGGCTAATGATGAAGTAATTAATGGTCAATGATGATGAACTCTTTTATAATAATGATGAATATGTTAATTACGTACGTTACACCCTTTCGTTGATGACTATACAGGGAAGAACAAAGTTGAATGCTATGTATCAATTGTCTCTTGTTTACATGTTGAGTTGCTGTGAAATAAACAACGTTCTGCCTCTGTCTAGAACTGCTGGGGAATTTAAATGTAATTCTTCTTTATATTTAACCATAGCGCATGTCTCAGTGACGTAGGATAAAACCTACTAAAAGAAGTTGCATCGCTTAGCAACTTATGAATAATACAATTTATTATAAATTTTACAAATTATGGATAAATAGAGATGCCGCTAATTGTCTGATCCAATTAAATCTAAAAAATAGCATTAGATATATTATTTTATATCAATACACGAACACATGGAGGAGATATTTTGTTTCTGGGACAAAATCACAAAAGGAGGATATAACTTTCAGCTACTTTATCAAGAATATGTGCTTTAGGTACAAGGAATCTCCTGGGAAGGGAATAATGGGGGTGTGGGGAAAAGGTTGAGCCTTTTTGTGAAATTTTGGCTTCTGAGAAAAAGAAAAAAAAAACTTTCAGCATGTGTGAGAAATAAATTGCAGGGAAACTAACAACAAAATTTCATAAAAAATATATAAATCACAATTAAATTTTTTAAAATATTATAATTCTTTTCAAGTTTTTAATTACCTTTGTGACATTATTAATTTTAGATTAAATGATTAGATTGCCTAAAAAAATAATGGATTCAAGTGAGAAGTTACAATTTTTTATCCAATTCTTACAATTTATAAAATAAAAGTTGTAATTACTTAAACAATACTCCACTAGTCCTCTTTATAAGTCATTTTTAATATATTTCATTAGTATTAAAAAAATTTTAAAATTTATTAACTCTATCTTAAAATTTAATAAGTTTTCGACCCTACCCCTATTAAATATACATATTTTAATAACATATTTTTTCTCTCTAACATTCAATTAAGAGTAAAAGAAGAAATTTATAATGAAAATTTAATAACATAACTTATAAATAAAATTAAAAAAATTATTCTCTTTCTACCCTATAAATAGGACAAGAGAAAGTAGTTATAACTGATTATTTTTAGAACTTATATTTCAAAGGTAAAAGAACTTTTATGTAAGAAGTTGTGATTTTTTATTCAATTCTTGTGATTCATATAATAAAAGTTGTAATTAATTATTTTTAAAATTAGGACTTTTATAGTAAAAAATTTTACGTGAAAAGTCATGATTTTTTATTCAATTTTTACTATTCATTCAATGAAGGTTGTAATTACTTCAACAACAGTTGTGATTAAAACTAATTATTTTTATTATTTATTTATCAATTATAAAAAAATTTTATGTGAGAAGTTATGATTTTTTATTTAATTTTTATAATTTATAAAATAAAATTTATAATTATTCAAACAAAAAGTCATGATTGAAAAAATAAAGCTAAACCTATTGTTTTCATTTTAAATAATGAATAATTTATTCATTTAACTTAAAATTATAAACGTCATAAAAATATTTAAAGACTTAAAATTAATTATGGCATTTTGAAGTAATTGCTTGGTGTTTATAAATTTTTAATTTTAATGAGATTCTAATATTTTATTGTCATTTTTACTAAATTATAAGCCCTTATCAGTTTAAGGGGTCATCATGAGGGTAGTTGAAAACAAGGTTAACCCGCTTTAATTATCACCATCTTGATCACTTACAACTTCAAGAATCACTGGCCTTTAACCTAATGATGCTCTTTTGTGACTCTAATCATTCTAATTTGAAGTGGCGTGTCCTGGTCATATCAATGTCTGTGTGACGCAGTGACATGTAATTAAGGTTCAGCCTTTTTGCACATGTTCTTCAAATAATATTTCCCCTTTTCAGTTCACTTGTCATTCTAAAACTGAAGGTGACAATGATTTGCCCATATTTTTTTCCCCAGTTTTTCTCTTTAAAATCATGTAAGCTCCGTTTAGAGCTAATCAAAATTATAGTTCAGACAACGCTCATAAAAATATTTATATATTATCTAGAAATAAAGATCTTACATCAGCGCCAAGGACATATGACATGCTATATTTTTCAATAATACATATGTGTGTTAGAACCAAAATCAATTAATTTGTTGTGATAAAACAAAAGAAATCACCATGAAATTATCTTAAACTGCTTGCATTCAAATTCAAACCTTGTGCAATATATACAAGGGCATGCGCTATTTACAGATAAAACTACATGAAAAGATGATCTCTATAAACGTATGAATTTTTTTTTATTTGCGTGTGTCACAGTGGCTTTAAAGTAAGTAGTTGAAGTTTAATTTATATATATATATATATATATATATGGAGAGAGAGAGAGCCCAGTTAAGAAATAAGAAGGGTTTGTCTCTTGTTTTCGATAGCTTGAAAAGGATTAATCTCTAATACTATGAGGAAATGATATCTCTAGTAATAAAAAAAAATGATGGTTTTATG